GCTCCATGACCAGAGTGAATGCTGTCATCTTCAGCCCCGAAGTATAAGGCAGAGTTTTCTATGGCAGTAAGTAACAGGGAAAGAAGCCCCTTTGTGTGCTCACAGTACCTCCAAAACTAGCCTTGCCATCACTATAATAGTTATGAGGGCAGCTTCTGACCATTCCCGTTCTACCCCTTGTCTGAGCACAAGTCCGAAAGCATCACCTCGCTCACTGATGCATTGCGGCCAGTGAAATGTGATCAGCATTTATATGTTAATTCTGGGATAGAGCTTTAAAGTATGTGATCTACCAAATCCCACTTCCTCTGTCACACAGAGGAAGACTGCGAGGAAATGCATATTCTATCTTCAAATCTCCCTAATGGTGAGCAGAGATGTGCTGCTCCCATGCTGGACATACAGCAGGAAGAAGAATGCCATCATCTGTATCTTAAATGTCCCCCAAGGCCCGTGTTATTGAAGGCCATTCCCCTGTCCATGGCAACTATTGGGAGGTGGTGAAACCCTTTAGAGATGGGGTTTGGTGGGAAGATGTTAGGCCATTTAGGACGTTTCATTGAAGAGGGTGTTGGGACTCTGGCTCCGTTCTCCCCTCCACACTCCAACTGCGAGGTAAGGAATTAACTGTACCACACCTCCCCATCACGCTGTACTCCCTTCCCTCAACACCAGAGGTATTGAAACAATGATCTACATAACCAGGAACTAAAACCTCCAAAGTTATGAGGTTAAAAATAAATAAATCTTTTGCCTTCATAGATCATTTACCTCAGCTATTTCTTACTGACTAACAGAAAAATAATCATTTCCAAGGTTGAACCACCAAGACTTTACGGTTAAGTGTTGCCACAGCTTATGACCGATATCGGCACCATTGACATCTTGAGTCAGACAAGTTTATTGTGGGAGCGATCCTATGCATTTGGGATTTAATAACATTCTGACCTCTATTCACCAAATGCCATTAGCATGCCCAAAGGGTGCCACTCATCCCTTAGTGAGAGTGGGGCATGAGAACAGTTAATCGTCACTGACCTAGACTTCTCCAGTTGATACAACCACCACCAAATAGAAGAAATGACTTCTCTTTTGCACACACCTATGTAGCTCTCCTATAGTGATTCATTTCCCACATGGAGTCACACAGTTACCTGGACTCTCATCACCCTGAAGAAGATTGCAAGAGGACATAAAATGTTCGCGTCTGTGCCAAGATCCATCTGGAACTTGAGTTTTCTATGAGTGACTCAGCCAAGTGAGGTGGGTGGAACTCAGTCTCCCACAAAAGTTGGCATGAAGTTCAAGACCACTGCAAAGTTCTCGTATTAAAATCTTGGTCCCTGCAGCCATAGAGATGGCTAGGCAGTTAAAGGCCCTGGCTGCTCTTCAAGAAGACCCTAGTTCAATTCCCAGCAGTCATATGGTGGTCTATGACCATCTGTAACTCTTGTTCCAGGAGACCCAACATCCCCTTCTGGCCTTTAGGGGCACCATGTATGCACATCTGCACATATATATGTGCAGGAGAACACCCACACACTTTTATTAAATAAATAACTAATAGATTAAAGAAAACTTGACCCATAATGAAACAGTGTTAGGAGGTGATGGTCATAGCAGTGGTTAGATCAACAAGGCTGATGTTATCTTTGTGAGCATAAGCTTATCACAGAAGTGAGGTCGAACCCCTCTTGTTCACTCAGTCTTGTGTAAGCATGCTTATTTGCCTTTCAGACCATGGGATGATAGTGACTCTAGCTAGATGCCGACATCTTAATATTGAACTCACTGACTTCCAGGCTCAAGTAGTCTGATATAGTATCAGACAACAAACTAAAACAATTTCCACTGACAGGAATAAGTGACAGCTGAGCTCTATCCCACACTGTTCATCAAGCAAGTCTCACTGGACTCTAGATCCTAGAGGAAGTAAGTTTTTCATTCATGTCTGAGTAGCAGCGATTTAGAAAAGTTTGTGCCAAGTCTGGGAACCACGGTGACACAGATTGGGGTGGATGTGGGGTCTAGGCTATAGATCCATGCTGAGTAAGACTAGGAAGTCAAGGGCCTCCTGCTTGATATCGACTTAAGGGGTCATCCTGTGTGAAATTTTGGAAAGCTACCTCAAGTCAATGGATGAGAGGGGGTAAAAGAAATACAAATCATTACAAATCATGACAGTACGGTTTGTGTCAGGCAAACCTTAAGAGGATGCCGGAAATTTTGTGGTTGATATGAACCAAACTGGCACTCCTTTCAAGCGACACAAAACTCCTAAGCTCTAATATGTGGGCCCATGGGATGCTAATCAATGTACAGCTTTCACCAATTAGAAGCATTCATTGAAGTTTCTGGGTAAAAGGCCATCTGTCCACACTGCATGTTGATAGTGAAGTGCTCCCCGAGGCTCACATTAGCAGGAACCCCTGTAGCTGCTGTGGGAGTCTCCCCGGGTTCTGCCCAAACACCTCCTTCTGTTGCTGCAGAACACCTCCCAAAGCCACAAGATTCAGGGCATGGCACAGTTAGCAGAAGCACAAAGTCTACCCAGGCAAGGGGTCAGGTGTTTCCGGAATGACTCCTTCTGCCTCTGTACACCCATCCCTGCATATTACCCATCACAGTGCTTGATAGCTTTATGCATGAAACTGTGAGGCGGGTGGTGGCGGCTCATGCCTGCCAGCCTGGTCTACAGAGTGAGTTCCAGAACAGCCAGAGCTACACAGAGAAACCCTGTCTCAAAAAAAAACAAAAAAAACAAAAACCTGTGATCCTATCAAGCCACCATTAGGTCCAATTATGTCCCCCTTAACTTACTCCCCTGGTGGATATTGTCCCCAGATTTACTGCACTTTTCCTTCAAGTTGGCCAGTTTCTTTCCTGAGAAACTATCTTGCAGACTTTCTTATGTTTTTGGATTCCCCGCTCTCTTCCTGCCTCAGAAGAATCCAGTTGGCCCCTGTCATTGTTCTACTTGACTCTTTGCAGATGGTCTTCTCCTCAGGCCAGTGCCTGATGACAGTCGGTCTTTCTCTGGTGATGTCCTGAAGACCACAGCATTCATCATAGCACTGTAGCGACCAGGGCTTTTCCTTCTGTGGTTTCTTTGGTTAGAGTGACCCTCTCTGCATTTTTTGCCCCATTCAAGGCCAAAACCAGTGAGTTGATGCCTCTCTGTCCTCCTGTACCCACTGGCATGCAGGGCTTCTCAGCAGCTTCTCCATCTTGTCCTGAGCTATTCTTCTCTCCTCACAGTGCTTCACAGCTGCTTGAGAAACTGAACTCTAACACTTCTGACCACCTGCAGGGCACACCTTTGTTTGACACACAGCAAATGCACACGTAGATGTGTACCCTAATGAAATAAACTGAGAACATAAACACTACCCACCAGATATCTAAACACCTGGCTCACTGGCTTACTGTACTCTACCATATTCCAGAGTAATTTCAAGCAACCTGTAAATAAATACTTTTGCAATTTTTGAATAATTGTATATTTTATAAAGTCTGGACTAAGTGTTATTAAATAGCATAATATCAAAGAGAAATGAAGTGTCCAGATACAAAGAGTACAGGATTTTACATACGCGTAGCATTTGAGCTACAATTTAGTACTCTGAACTTCCTGGCAGCCAAAACACAAAGGAAAATATGTTTAATTGTGTGGCTCTTACTGTCCAGAAGGAGAAAACATGCCATTGCTTACGGGAAGCAAAGTTTTCCTGGCATTTAGTCCCAAAACAAATGCTGTTGTACAGAATTTGTCACGAGGGATGTTAGGTACATCGTTGTCTAGGTTGAAATTTGAGTGTATAGTTTGCTTATGCCTGGGATGCTGCTAGAGAGTCCTGTGGAAGAAAGGGAAGGGTGTTAAGTAGCACAGATGAGTGTCCCCAACATGGACAATTCGTGGACATCTTCAAATTGCATCCAAGAAGTAAGTGGAAATGGTGTATTCTTGTTACTGTTGGTTTGGTTTTAGTGGAAATACAAGCATCTATGTTTTCTGTCTTGTGGAGACTTGAATTGGGAGATTGTGGATCCCCAATTTCTAACTGACTATTTATGGTTTGCTATTGCTCTAACAAGTGGGATATCAAAAAGACATTGAACAACTTCAACTTTGTCATTCAACGAGAAATTAAGGAAAGTGAGTTCCCTAAAATCTAACATAAAAATACTATTATTTTAAAACAAGAATTTTGACAAATTTACACACAAAATATGCACGCACACACACACACACACACACACACACACACACACACACACACACGTGCACATAAACACACACTGAGGTAGAAGTTCCAGAAAACCATGGTTCCATATGGGAAATTAGAATACAAAGCAGAGGTCGACAGTAGGGAAAAAGAAGAATCCTAACAGAATGGGCTCAGCAGTCTCTGCAACCTTCCAGGGGAGTCAAGCTGGTCTCACTCTGAGTGGGCCTGCTCCTGCACATTAACTAGACTACAGTGCCTGGTAGTCCCAGGTGAGCGCCCACAGAAACACTAACCAGGCCAGAGCCACAGCAGACAAGAACAGGCACATTCAGGGTAGTATGGCCTTGGACTGCTCGTATTTGTTCACTAAATCCTCAGTAAATATCCACGCCACCTATCTAAACCAAGATTTACTATGCTTTAAATCTCATTTTAAACACGTAGAAAGAAAAGCATAAATCAATTGTACAGCCAGGACATGGGCATTTTGTAAATGTGTTTTGTTTCCTACAGTTTGCCAACATGTACAGATCCTTGTGTGTTTATTATTAAATACATAATGCCACCATTCCCTCTAAAGTTATTCAACATGAAAATTGGTAGCACTATTTGCTTATTCTGTTTTCTGCCGAACATCTCAAAATACTCTCTACAACCCAAAAGGGGCGGGGGAGGGGGCAGACTTATTTTCAGTGTTATAAAGCATGAGAATGTAAAATTATGGAGTGAGCGCCACTAGAATAGTTCACTAATAAAAATAACCAGACTTTTGAGTCACTCCTCATTATTGGGTTTATTTATAGACTTCTCTGTTGTTACTCAGGAGATGAGAAGGCAATAAATTGCTAAGCAAAATACAGCAAGAATACATTTGGAATTCAAGCAGATTGGAAGGCAGGCTGCACCCAAGCATCTTCAAGGTCATGGTGTGCTAGAGCTAGACTCCTTTCAGGAACAATGCTCTCCCAAGAGTACACACAGCTAGCACTCCACCAGTGATGATCCCTTTAGAAAAAGGAGTAAAAGACAGAAATAGATTCCATGCATCTCAATGTGCCAACCACAGTTCCAGTTAGCATACAATCCCAGGAACCAGTCATTGAGCAGAAAAACACAAGAATCACATGGGACCAGGGATAACCTAATATTTATTCATGAAATACTCTTGTGAGCAGGAACATTGAAAAACAATTTGGGAAACTGTATAAAACTAAAGAAAAGTAAAGATCCCTGAGCTAAGTTTGTTTGTGTCAACCTTCTCTGGCCCTTTATTCTATTACACAGAGAAGTAGCAGTCATCCAAGATGGCTTTGTACATTCTGAACTCTAAGATGCCTCTATTTTACTAGTCATTATGCATTCATTATTGATGAAGATGCTGGAAGGAACCCAGTTTTTCCCAATGCATCTTAAAAAGTGTAAAAAAAAAATATTTGAAGAAGATATGGAGTAATCAAACTTTTCTTGAACAATCTGGATGTTCTGCATACATAGGGCAAACAGATAATAGTCAGCAGAAAATGATGCCACCTTAAAAGCCCTGGTGAAGGTGGAGCATCATGGGAGTATCTCTGATTTGACTTGGACATGGTCCAACCCTGAATGAGATTGTATTTTTGAGGAGGTGCCATGTTATCAGTAGATTCATGCTTAGAAATCATCCTACTCCCCTCTCACCTTGGAGAGACACTGTTCAATGCCAAGTAGAACTTGCCAAGACTGCTATACGTTCACATTTCTTTTGGGGGGAATCCAAATGTGAAGTCGAACTGTGGGCAGGAATTGGCCACACTTACACAGCCACTCCCAGGATTAGAAGAGCTTGACGTCATTGTTTTCAGTTGCTGTAAGTGCAAAAGGGAAGGAGTGACAAGACTCCGGGAAGAGAGGGCAAAACCGGAGCCCGCCTGGCTTCCCACACTCAGTCAGGTGTTGTGAGGAAGTGACAAAGGCCTGAGTAATGAGACTACTGGGTGAGAAAGGTCTGCGGAAGGTCATGCGGTGAGCAGACAGCAGAGTTTCTGGGGCAGAAATAAGACAATTCTTCTGAGCAAACAAACAAAAAAACATGCAAGACGATAGAGTAGGGAAATGTAGGGCATGCTGTGTTCATGCTTCCTGACCTCTGGGCAATTTGGGATAACTCTGAGCACTTCCAAAGCTAGATAATCGACATATTTCTGGAGTCCATCACCAAAGAAATTGACTCAGTAAGGCTGTGATGTTCTAAGAATTTGCTTTTCTGCTAAGACACAAGCCACAGTGAGTCTGCTGGTGCACAGAGCGCAGCCTCCTCAGGCAGCATTGTGTGCTCTCTTGACCTGGGCCCTTCGAATCTTGTTATCCTCATCCTTGAATTAAGATGATAGGACTGTCCTGAAGATTCAATAAGTTAGCATGCCTATGGTACTCAGGACACAGTAGGGCCTGGCATGTACTTCTGTTTTCATCTGTTCTGAGGGCCAAGGTAGGATCCAGGGGATAACGGGCCCTGGAACAATCCAGGAGTCCAATCTTACGGCAGAGCTTCCCAACTCCGTGTGAGCAGTCATCATCTGGGGACCCAATATTATATACAAATGAGATTCCTGGCCCCATCCTTAAGTAAAAGGTCAGAGTGGCATTTATAGGACTTTCTTAGAGCCATGTGGTTCCAACGTCAGGCTGATTGAAACCTGGGTGACTTGGAAGTGAGAGCCTGAGATCACCATGTTGGAGTCTTACACAGCAGAGAACACAAGGGTGAAGTAGAGAATCGGAAAGTTTTAAATTAGGAGCAGTGGTGAAGTTTGGAGACATGAGAGAAAAGCTTGCCAATAAGACAGGAGAGCCCAACATGAATAAATGCTTATATTGCCTATACATGCAAATATATTAAAATCTATATTCATATATAAGGCCTAAATAAATATACATATATGTTCATAGGCCCCCCACTTTGTAGAAACAGTTCATCTGGGTAATCAAGTGGTTGGTTAGTGATTTTTCTAGTGGAATAGGAATAAAGAAGTATAGAGGAACTAGGGAAATTCCAAAAGCCACAGATCCTCAGAAAGTCCCCAATACAAACTGCTTTTCCCAGCCCAATTACAGTGATGGAAGCCGGAAGAACATTAACCAGCCAGTTTGGACAGGAACTATAAAGGAGGAGGGTGGCTTCTATTCTAAGAGGCCCATCCCCCAGCTTCTTTCCACAGACCTCCAGCATCACTGAAATTGTGTTTCTCAGAATTCCAGACAAGAGAAAGACTTGGGATAACCCAGCCTCAACAGTAAACACGATCAGCAGTGTAGATTGTAATTCCTGAGTATGTCCAGGAAACCATAACATACTTAGTACTTTCAGAAGTGTCTCTATTGGAAATCCCCATTTCAGTAAATGCTCTTACAGCATCTCTCCAAGTCCGCATAGGAAACACAGTCTGAAGGCAAGCTGGGTCACTGCTGCATCTAGGCATGACCCACTCACTGCCTGTATCTACCACTGAAAGCAGCTCTGCAAACCCAGAGATCTTCATACTCTAGAACGTTTCCTGCCTGAAAGAAAGTCTGCTCAGCTTTCAGAGTCCATCTGGGAAGGAAGTCTGAGAGCATCGCTCCCTTGTCAATTGCTTTTAGTCACTGGTGAGATCAATAGACAGTCAGAGTGTTGAGGTCATGGGTATGCCTGTTTGGGATTCTCTACCTGGCTGTGAAGAGATCAGGAAATACACACATGCAAGCAGGCATGCATGCACAGACACACATGGATTAGATGTGGTACAGAGTGGAGAGAAGTTCCTAGTGCTAAAAAGAAAATGGCATCCCCAAAATCCCACAGGAGGACAATAAGGGGCAGTGGAGGGAGATAAAGACAGAATACAACACCAAACCAAACACCACATTGTCAATGCTGATGCCTGAGTGGCCATAACTCGGTGCGCTTGTTTTCCCTTCCAAGTGAATACTCCTCTCCCTTGAAACTCCAGGTTGTAAACATGTTTACAGCTGAGATCATCTGAGCTCAGGCACAAATGCCGCATACAAAACTAAAACAAAATGAAACCACTTAGTCACTGTTCCTGGTGAACCAGTTTGGCAAGAGTTAACCTAGTCCCTCCCATAAAGCTGAAAATACTTGGCTCACAGCTTAGCCAGGAAGTTGCACTGCTGCAAGTTAGCTGACCTCAATCACGCTGCCCCAGAAACTTGGGTCTTCACAGGGTGAGCTCTTTCGAATCAACTAGAAATGGCAGCATTGCACACTGTCTTTATCACTGCCGGCATTCATTGGGGCATCACCCATGTGAACACAAGCGTCCTGAGATCTGAATTCTTGTCTTTGTGGTACACTCATTCCAGTGGGCTACAGAACTGTGACTTTCCAATAGGCGTGCCAGCTTTGCCTATCGACTGCCAGAGTGGCTGGAGAATTACAAAGCAATTAACCTAAACGTGACTGTGCTGTGAGCAGCCAAAGGGCTGGAAAACTGGCAGATCCAGAAATTTCCATAGGGGAGAAAAGGGACAGGGATTTTGTTGAAAAAGATGTTAGATGGAGCAGCCTTGTGGTGTGACCTGAACCAATGACTGTACAGTAATTGTTTATCCCTTGATTACAGCCTAAAGACAAATAAAACAACGTGAAGTTCTTGGAGAATAATTTCAATAAGATTTTTGGGGGAAAAAAAAACAATTGTCCATATTAAAGAATCCTGAAGCCAAGCCTGGGGAGTAGAGGAGAGTGCAGGGGCAGAAGTGAGGCCAGGAGGATCTGGGCAAACTCTATCAGGCCATTCTGGTGCTAGGTGGGAAGGGTAACTGATTCATCTTGACACCTAGCACTTAGCACAGTGACTGGTCTTGAGTAGGAGTCTACTTATTGTTCAAACAGGCCCTGAGCATTTAATAGAGAGGAAGATGCAGCAGGAAAGGGAAGGTCTGAGAAGATGGAAGAGGAAAAAAGAGAACAAGAAATGAGAAAGGGGAAGAAAGACAGAAGAACAAGACACAAGAAAGAAGAGGAAATGGGAGAGGTGGGGGAAAAAGAGAAGATGATGTATTTGGTGCATGGCTGAGGTCATCCAAGCTCTCATGGGCCCTCTCAGAGTTCAAGAACATTTTCACCTTCTTCACCAACACATGCAGGTGTTGAGTGTTACTATGACCAGAGTTCGTGCTCTATGAAAATGGGATTTGTACATGAGAAGGGGAGGAAGCAGAGAGCTAGGGAGGCCCACGGAGATCCACAAAGATACCCCCCGCAAAAGACTGCTGGCAATGGTCGAGAGACGGCCGGGACTGACGTACTCTGGTGATGGGATGGCCAAACACCCTGATAGTTGTGCCATAAACCCCATCCAAGGACTGAGGAATCTGGATGCAGACATCCACAGCTGGGCCCCTGGTGGAGCGCTGGGAGTCTAATTAGTGAGAAAGAGGAGGGTTTATATGAGCGAGAATTATTGAAGCCAAGGTTGGATAAAGCTCAGGGACAAACAGCCAAAGGAATGGAAACACATGAACTATGAACCACAGGCTGGGGGGCCCCCAACTGGATCAGGCCCTCTGAATGGGTGAGACAATTGATTGGCTTGATCTGTTTGGGAGGCATCTGGGCGGTGGTGCCTGGTCCTGGGCTCATTGCATGAGTTGGCTATTTGAATCCTGGGACTTATGCAGGGACGCTTGGCTCGGTCTGGGAGAGGGGGACTGGACCTGCCTGGACTGAGTCTATCAGGTCGATTCTGGTCCTCAGGGGAGACCTTGATCTGGAGGAGGTGGGAATGGGGGGTGGGCTGGGGGGAGGGGGGAAGGGCATGGGAATCTGTGGCTATTATGTGGAACTGAATGGTGTTATAAAATTAAAAAAAAAAAAGAAAAGAAAAGAAAATGGGATTTGTTTCCTGTTGCTTCTGTCAGAATTGCTTTCTAGGGGTGATTTCATACAACTTCCTTTGACATGCTATGGGGTGAAGGAGGGTTGGTGTGGGACTAGGGTGCTTGTATCAAATCTCAGCCCTGCCCGCACTCGGTAAGTACTCTCCCTCTGAACTCCACACCTCAGCCCCTGCTTTGACATCTTAATAGAGACTCTGCCCCACGTGGTCCTATCTGGCTGCAGGAAGTAAATCTGTCTCCCTTGCTTCATAGACACTGAAAACAGTCTCACTGGTACCTTCTCTCAACAAGTTCTCCTTGTATTTCTAAGCACTGTTCAAGCTGATGGGAAGATAAGTATGAGTCCAGGCTCAGTTATCATTGTCTTCAGAGACTGACTCAGAGATACCAACCAGAAACTAATGTGTCACAGCTCTGTCATTTCGAGTAGGAATAAAAATGTCACAAGCCCTGGATTATGATGTAATGAGTTATAGCTGATCTAAGCAGAGAGAGAGCAGAGCAAGGACCTAGGGTCACCCAAAGGCTCTTGTGACACCCCCCTCTGGTATGAGGCTCCTTTATTTCATTTAATGTGGCATTCTGACCAAGAGGGGAACAAGAAAGACAGGCCACCTGTGCGTGTCTTCTTTCAGATGCCCATGAAAATCCCCACAGTTGTTACCTTCTGGGAGGCTCAAAATGTTGTCATTGCTCCCAATTTGCTTGCTCCAAAGAAATTCTGAAAGTTTAGGGGCAAAATATTCAGTCTCTAAACCTTATCTCTTCTCATGGAATAACAATTAAAATGAAATAATATGTATAAACCAGCATACAGGTGCATCATTATTTATCTCCTATTGTGTAAGTTGTAGGATGGGTTCAATGGTAGCTTATGGTGGGAGATGGAAGACACTGTCTAGAAAAGAGAAGGACATGAGCACCCGGTGAGTTGGCACCTCCAACTCAAGCCACTGAAATCAGGTTTTGGCCATTGTGCTAAGTCTGAACCTGCAGGTGTGCTGGACTCTTGCAAAGCTAAGCTTTTTGTTTGTCTAAATTAATCACTGCAACATGTGGTTTAATTTCAATGGTATGGGTCAAAATAGGCACGCTGGAGCTTATGGGGGCCCACATAAGTCTGTGCTCAGAGAACGCTTCTTAGAGGCGTTGAATTCCAAACATTCATTTGAGGATTGGGGTATGTCTCAGTGGTGGAGCACTTGCTTACCAAGGTCTTGGGTTCATTTCCCAGTGCTATGTATTTTCTCTTTTGAAAGGGACATTCACATTTGGTTCCTCTCACTTCTCACAGCTCATGTAGAACAGGGACAAGCGTAGAAAGCAACAAGGAAATAATGATTATCTGCTTCCAATTAACTTGACCCCTGCTGTACTCTTGGCTCCCAACAGTCGGCAGGTAGTAGCAACCCTCCGTGGAAGAGCCTGTGACAAAAATCCAGTTGTCTACTGGAGAATCAATGGAGTCCAGCCTCCACAATGGAAGCAAGCTTTGAGTCTATGATGCAGCCCTGTCAGTTCCTGAGCCGGCATCTGTGTGGATGACAACCTGTGTGGAATGTGGCCACAGCAGGAGAGGAACTGCGCTCACCACATCCCCACCCTGTGTCCCTTCACTGTCTTCACTGAAGAAGACCCTGCTCACAGCACCCCCTGATAGCGCTCACCAGTGCCGATCCAACCATTTGTCTAAAGCACTGTTTCTAAGGAACAGTTAAGCGGAATGCAGAGCCAGGCCACAATTGATTATCTTGGAGGGAGAAAAGAGACAGAAAAAGGAGATATCTAAAAAGAAATAACTCGACATAAATACCACTAAAATGTCACAGAAACAGAAGTCCTAATTAAAAAGCAATGTAATTAGTCATTTATTTTTCTGAGAGTAGTTTAGGATCATTATAAATAATACAGACAAAAACAAGACCTGCTGGTTCTGGCTAAGTCACCTTGTCCAGGAAGCTGCTGCCTGTTTTCCTGCTGGTTTCAATTGAGGTACATTCCATTCCAAGGTCCATGCACAGGGCTCACTTAGCAATGCTGTCCCTTTTGTCTTCATCCTGGGTCATTTCGGTAAACAGAAATGCTACAGCCTGCTAGTGTCATCAGGGCCCAGTGAAATGGGGGGGGGGGGCAGATTTTAAAGGTGTGTATTCATTCCACTTGTCCCAGCCTAAACCCCTATTCACAACAGACACTGCCCATCTGCCCATGTCACCCTCTCTATTGTGAATCAACTTTTCATTTCCCTCAAAGGTATATTAAAACTGACAAAATGTTCAACAGTTGATGTTTGGGGCTGAGAGATGGAAGAGGTGGATGAACTATGACTGGACAACTATAAAGTAGTTGAAGTACACAAACAGAACTTACATAAGAGAGAAAACTCAGATAGCTGATAAATATGTTGAGGGGGGATGAGATGTCCATTCCAGCCTCACTAGTAACCTGGGGAAAGCCTCTTTAAACAACAATAAAGTATCATTTCATGACCAATAAACTTAACAGTTTTAAAACAAGAATAAATGTTGCCAACCATGAAATGTAACGAGTCTGTTTCTGTCCCGCCAACCAGCTCCCAAATAACAACATGGAGACTTATTATTATTAATTATATTTCTAACTAGCTCTTATAACTTAAATTAACCCATTTCTATTAATCTACGTGGTGCCACATGGCTCATGGCTTTTACCTCTTCTCCTGAATGTCTGGCTGGCAACTCTGCCTTTCCTCTTCCCAAAGCTCTCTCTGTCCAAAAGTCCCACCTATACCTCCTGCCTAGCTATTGACCATTTAGTTTTGTATTAAACCAGTCACAGTGACATGTCTTTACACAGTGTAATAATTATCTCACAACAGTGAAAGGAATCAGCAACGTGTAGGGATGTCTTCTCAGAAGGTCGTCACAGGTGTCCTCAAGGCTGGACTCCTTCCTTAGTCCCATTCTTCCCATGTCTATGAAGGCTGCTCAAAGCCCACTTAATGGAGAGACCCTGGAAGACTCCATGGCACCATGAGTAATAACCAAGTGAACCAGAGAGAAAAATTATGTGTCACAGGATAGATTCAACCTATGTGGGAAAATAGAACAAATCTCAAAAAATGTAGCATTGCTTTTTTAAAGAAAGTAAATTGCTGAGAGAGAAAAAGAGAGAATCCACCAATATAATGAGAAAGAAGACAGTGATGTTTGGCTTCTCAGTAGCTTCTGGGGAGCTGGGTAGAATGGATCTCAGAGAAGCAGAAAGAGAAGAATATTTGGGAAAAAGAAAGGAGAGAAAAAAGTGATAGTATGAGTAAGTCACGTGATGTGCCTTAGCGTTTATTTTATGAAAAGAAGTTTGAAAAAGAATTCATTTCTCTTAAATCCAAATGGTGAGTATGTGATTGTTAATTTTTTAGTTTTCCTTATTTTTCTATATATTTGAAGAATTCCAAATTTAAAATATAAGAAATGAATTAAAATACAGAACATTTTTTAAAGTCCCACAAATGCAGTGAATGACTAAATTTAAAAAAACAAAACAAGTGTACAATAAAAGCAAACCTGGGAGGCTATAGATCAAATTGTTGTGAGTCTTTTAGGGTTTCAGAACTCTGCTTCTGCAACTTTCTAATGCTTGGGACTTTAGCTGGGGCTGTGGATCTCTTCACTCAACTCATCTAAATGTTGAAACAGGCTGGTGGAGGTGAAGAAAATGGTAAAGAAACTCACTTAGTTCTTGCTGCAAAAGTCAAGAACCTGAGTCCCACCCCTCGGTGTCATCAAAGGGCCAGGGGGAGAGAGGACAGGTGTGTTCTTGGAAGATAACAAGTAGCCAAGCCCCAGTTCCACAATGACGCAACACAGGCTGCCGTTTCTGTGTGTACAAAGAGCTAAGGGACAAGGGGCAGGGGGCACTGTATTCCTGTGCGATCTGCTCACATCCTGCATTTTGTCAAAAGGAATGTGGTCACAAGGCTGGCCAAGTTCCAACAATTCATCACATTTGTGACTTTTACTCCTACCCTCCTCTCAACACAACCACCTGATTATAAACTCTCTCTCTTCATCCTATCTCAGGACTTAACCCCTGGATTCCAGCTATCAAGTGATTCTTACAACACTCAACCTGAAGCGCCTTGGCCATATTAAAGCCTTCTTCAGATAATGACATTCAAAGAATGTGCCACTGTTTCTTATCTTAGCAAGACAAAATGGCAGAGCTCTCTGAGCTGCTCCGTTCCTCTGCAGGAGCCTAAGTGAGCTCCCTCCCTCCATGGTCAGCCCTCCATGTTCTCCGCAGCTGTCTGTAGTTTCTGGGGCTTTGTTCTGTGTTTTCTGTGACTTTCAATGCTTGTTTAAAGAACAGTACATTCATCTGACCATTAAGCATACACACACACACACACACACACACACACACACACACACACACACACCCCACACACACCCCACACACACCCCAATATGTGTACACACTAATACACACATATGTATGCACACAAACCAAAATACACACATACAAACATACCCAACACACATATTCAGAGTCCAGCTTTTCTTCATTGTACCATTTTCTTTTTACTGGTTTGGTTATCTCCCAATTCTTTCTTGTTATACTAAATATAAGCTGTTTATTTAATTTAATTATCTATTTTTCAGTTTTCTTATATATTTCTCAATTTATATCTATTTTCTATCAGGTTGCCAATTCGTTTCTCTTGGATTGTCTTCCTGTGTCTGGTAGTTCTATACCCTGCTATTCAATTCATCTTTCACTTCCTAAAGTAGTTTCTCTCTAATTGGCCGATGATGTCCCCCAAACCCACATTTCCTTTTTCTTTACAGGTTTATTTAATTTTGTGCATCTCTACATGTATTTTAAGGAAGTAGGAGGAAATACAATGAGTAAATAAGTAAGATTTGTGGTTGTCACAACTCTAAACATTCAATGAACACGGGATAAAAATATTTTGAGGAAAAATACATCAACTAAGCATGTACATATTTTTGCTCATTGTCATACCTAAACAATACAGTATAGGAAAATTTTATAGCGTTTTCATTGTATTCAGTACTATAAATAATCTAGAGGTGATTAGAACCATATAGCAGAATATTACATATAGATTGTGTGTAAATATCACACTATAATATGAGCAACTGTGGATTTAATATACGGACATCTGTGGACTGGGGTACTTGTGAAGTGAAAGTCCTGATATCAACTGTGCAAATACATGGTCCTCAATACTGGATCAGAAAGCTGGAAGCCATTTTAGACTCCATTGATACGAATGGGATTGCATAAAAATGAAATATAAGCAAATGAACACAATTTTTTGAGATCTAAAATATGTAAGTGTATAGTCAAGAATACTAAAGTTTGTCATCCATTATTTCATGATTGTGAGAGCGTCTTCAAGAAGTCCTATGTTCTGTCCCTACTTGTGGTAGAAATGCCTAATGCAGTTCTCAATGCACAGTTTTTAAATAAAGGAAACACTGACAGGGTGCCAAAAGCAATTCTCCTGTTAATTTGTTTATTGACTTATTATTTTTCAATCCACAGAAAACACTGGATTCCCATTCAGTTTCCATTCCAGTTGGAAAGTAGAGAATTTAGCAAAGCTAGAAGGTCAAAATGATCTTAGAGTAGCGCCGCTACCTTTCCTTTGTCAGGGGACATTTTCTCCATGGGGAAAGAAGTTAGAGCTGTTGGGAGGGCAATGATAATGTACGGCTTAAGAAGAGGTGGGATAGGGCCTGTAGAGATGAATCAGTTGCTAAGAACACCACTGTTCCAGAAGACCCCAGCTTGGCTCCCAGCAGCCACATGTTGGTGACTCACAATCATCCCTAACTCCATCCCAGGAGATGTGACACTTCTCCATGGGTACCAGGCACACAAATACTCAGTAGAAGCCACATACTCTCTTCTTCCCTTCCCATACTTGTACTTACTTACAAGTCTTCCACACCAATTTAAATATTGCCTTGCCACAGACATGGAGATTTGGTCTAAACATAAACTGAATCTGTGAAGTAATCAGGGGCTGGGGTTTCCTGTAACATTATAAGCATTTTCCAGGGTCACGGGATAAGGCCTAAAGGAAGGAATAAATATTGCTTCTTGGCCTTTCAGCTGAAGTCAGGTGAACTGAACGAAGACTGCCGAGGTGCCGTGTTTGCCGCAGACAACACAACAGTGCGGCTCTTAGCTGCTTTTCGCTGGAGATTGCTTGTGGGTCGTGCTTACTCCTGTTTGGATCTTGAATGGCCCCCAAAGCCCAGTGTGATGAAAACTCCAAGCCCAGACTGGGGTGCTACAGGGATGTGAAACCTTTGGAAGGAGGAGCCTGGTGGAAGGAAGTTAACTCTCTGTGGTGTGCCCTTGAGGAGAATATCAGAACCCTGGCCATTCATGGTTTTTTTAGCCCTTACTTCCAAACAATAAAGTTTCTTCTGCCGTATGTCCCCACCATGACCAACTGTGCCAACACAGACCCAAAACCACAAGGACTGAAAAGTGACCAAGGACTGAAATACCCCACTGTAATCAAAATCAACCTTTCTTCCTTCCAACTGGACTCCAGCAGCCATTTGGTCACAGTGCAACCAGATTCCAGCAGCCATTTGGTCACAGTGCAACCAGATTCCAGCAGCCATTTGGTCACAGTGCAACC